TAGATATATAAAAGGTAGAGCCACTTTACAACCGGTTAGGTCACAGGAGTTTTTAATGGCCTCTTTTTTTATAATGGAATCAGTGGACAACCAATGACGATTCAATGAGGGGTTTGAGTTTTCGGGTCATTGGATTCTCACCAATATTTGTGTTACATCCCAATTTTTTTGATTCAATAGTTGGATCCCAATAATTTTTTTTATGAATTTAACAAAATTTAACGGAAATGAATGTTGTCCCTCCACTTATTATGATATGCAAATATATACTCCGATTAAATTGCTTTCTAAATCCACTCATAGATATATGTACATATATATATGTATATATTTATTAATATTCATAGGTTAGTTGTGGTTCAGTTGGGATAAATATCACTTCTCGTCAGATTTTTAATTAAAATTATTCTAGTTATTATTGTTAGTATTTATTTTTATATAAATAAAAAATAACAATATTTTATATGGAATATGTGAGATGATTAGAGAAAAGCAGCAGACATATAACGGAGACGAATATGAAGATGTATCTAAAAAGTTTATCTTTCAAATAACGATTTAAGTTTGATAGTTGAATGTTATATGACCATGATATGATCCACAAATATGATATAAAAATAATATATGATATACATTTAAGATAAAAATGAACATATAAAATAATAAAACATTAAATAAATCCAAATTAAAAAAAATTGATTAAAAACGCAATTTAATCTAAACATAAACCAAATTTAGTTGAAATTATAACAAAATAAATGGAACTAATATTTGAATATGTGTTTTTCCACCACAAAAAAGTGAGCTTTCACATGGCGAGATCCGAACGATTCTACACCATGTGTCCCCGAGTATGTAATGCTTTTCCTCCTCGACCTCCATCCTCCATCATCATCCCGATCACCATCGTCTTCGGAGCTAGCACTGAGCTATGTACGATTCTGTTCTTCGTCCCTTTCCGGTAACCTGTTCCGGACTCACCTATGTGTTTTCACAGCGCAGTATTTAAACACAGTAAGAACCTCCGTGTCTTTCCTATAGATATATTGGAATAAGCATTGAACCTTTATATATATATAGTGCCATTGATGATGATCATGTTTTCGGTTGAAGGTTATGTTTTGGTGAAATAGGGGTCTTCGATTTATGGGTTGTTTCCAAATGAACAAAGAACTCTTTCTTTTTACACACTGAGGACTTGCTATATAACAACACTTGGCAGCTTGTATAACATCAAAGCACATACATGAATAGAGCTAAACTGTTCAGATCTATATTAGAAACATTTAGCTACTCTTGTTTTATAAATAGTATCTGAATTTCGCAAAAAAGGATGAAAAAAAACTATTATGATAAATCTAAATCATGAACATAAACCTTAACAATGGATTTTTACTCACCGAGAACTTCATCCAACTCACCTGATGTATATTAGTCATCAAAAATAGAAAAAACAATTATGTAAAAAAATATAATAATATATCGAAACAATTGGGTTGGATCTTTGATCTTAAACACCTTAAAACATGAAATTGATCGATGGATTGATGAAATCTAGAGAGCATATTACCCATTTTATAAGGTAGAATTTTTTAAATTGAAATAACTAATGTTCAATGAATTTAAAACTCATTTTAAATAAATTATTGCATTAACAAATTTAAATGACTAAAGACGACGTTAAACCGTTTCAAAAAATTTTGAGCCTTATTAATGGGTGTTACAGAGAATATTTATACTACCATTAAATTTAGACAAATAAAGACGAAAGTGGTAAGCTGAATATGAATATAAAATAATATTAAACGCGTTGAATAGAACAATCCATTGATTTTGGCTATTTCTTTAACAAATTAACTTAACTTCGATTGGTTCCTCGGACTTTCTGATTAATGCATAGGCAATTAAACTATTCTTAATTTTCCTCTCTATTTGACGCCATTATGAGAAGGCAGAACAAAAAACCTTTTATATTCTTAACAAAAGTACACGTGTCACCCTCCCATTTCAAACTGTACTTTTATATATATAAGATGGTGCAACTCAGAGTTTTTGAATATCTTTTTGTAAATGTTTTTCTTAAATATTAATATTCATTCATATGGTTATTATTTCTTTATAACCGAAATAACCGCATTTATAATCAAACAAATTTATAAATACAAAATAATTTTGTTGATTAATATCATCGTCCTAATTTTTCTATAAAAAAATTATGTCAAAACTCATAATTCCTAACAACATTTCAATGTACAATAATAAAATAAAATATTTACAGAACCTTTATATACAAATTATACTTATAAATATCTCATAATTGGCAGGAATTATTCTTTTTTTATATTAATTATCGATTTATAAATTTTATTGATATAAATATTGTAAAAATTGATATATAATATTTATTTATCACAATTGATAGTTAAAGATTGGGAAAAACTAAAACAAAAAAAAGTATCAAAGAAAAATTCTTAACCAAAAAATATATATATATACACATATATAATACGAAATTTCTATTTTTATAGGACGTAAACGACATTAATATTTTCTAATTTTTTTCAACTGACACGTTGATATGGATGATACATTATTATATCTTTATCATATATATTTGACACAGAGAAAAAATAAAGATATATGTCGATATTCTTGGTACATTAGAAAGTACAGCATCGTTAGTGGGGTCATGAATATGGTCATTAGAAATTACAGCAACGTTACATCAACCTACAACAATGTTAATATGGATGAATTAGAAAGTAAAAATAAATAATATAGAATATGGAAAATACAATGATACTAATTAGAAAAGATCAATACATATGGTCATGGACTCATGTGAAAGTTTACGTAGCTAATTTTGATCCGACTATATCTCCCAGATAACCGAAAAAATTAATGAATAGCACATTATATATTCTTGGCCGTTGTTTGTTTTATTTATTTTAATTTTTTGTAATGTAATAAATTACAACAACTTTTTTTTTTATGTGTAGGTAATGACTCATTGTGAGGGTTTACATATTGAAAGAAATTAAATATAAATTTATATTGTATCGATCATTATTATGAGTTACTCATCATTTTTAGTTATGATATAAATTTACTGTTGCCATTGTATTCAAATTAAACATTATAAATTTATATAACCTTTATATACAAAAATTTAATTAAACTCAAGTGATGTTTTTAATATGTACTTTGTATTTATCTATGTATAAAATATATCAAACTTTATTTACATTTAATAGGAATATAAATTATATCAAATATATTATCAATTGTTGTTTTTAATGTAACACCTATGTTGATAGTTTATGTGATAGAGAAAAAGAGTATAAATAGTTTATAATTAAACAAAAAATACAAACGACCAAATTAAAATAATTATCAACTATCTACAAATTATTTACCACATCTATAATTCAGGAATATTTTAATATAAATGTAACAAAATTAAAACTATTTATGTGTAGTTTTATAAATAAAAAAATCATTCACTTACATAACCATAGTATTTATTAATATACTTAACAAATTTTATAGATTTTGGATTTTAATTTGTAATTATTATTGCAAATGGATTGGATTTGTGATAAAAACATGAAAATACTCATTTTCTACAACACTCCACCAGATTCGTAAAAAAAGTAATTAATTTTTCAAAAAACCAGAAAACATATTTCTATTGCAGAAAAAATAGTAAAAATGCATACAATATCACATTAAAAAACAAAATTATAGATAAAAATAGAAAGATATGTCTTCAAAATGGATGATTCTTATGTCTAAATATTTCTTGAAACACAAAAAAAAAACTATTCAATTCTTAAACAAACACATCTCGTACCCAGAAAAATCCGAACCGAGAGAGAGTGTCTGTCAATTTTACGTTGGGTTGGAGAGTTGGGAGCGGATAAGCTTGACGGCGTTGGACATATACATCACCAATATGAGGGTCATCTTTTTTCATCAATTACCCCTCTCCTGTCAATACAATACATGCAAATGAATGAGATTAGATTATAGTAAACTTTAATATTGAAAAAGTTCAACATTGCAGCTCGTGAAGCAGCTTCTCAATTCATTTCATTTTCGTTGAGTATATATAAGAGATATTTTTTATAGTTATCTTTGGTTTTCAATAATAATTAAAAATAAACAATAAATATAATTGTGAGTGGCCTAGTGAATAGGACGCTATAGAGTTTTGTCGGTTACATTATAGTTTAATTCAATTAATAATTAGTTATTATATATAAAAATTAATGCTAATCTAATTGAAAATTTATGTACCTAATGAAGATTTTTATAAATCAATCAAAAGTCCACGTCCTTTATATCGTTTAATTAGCTATATGAACAACCAAACGTCGGATTGCGTTAATAAGCTTTCTCTAGATAGAATTTTAATTCATACTTAACACTTGGCAACTTAATTAGAAAAATAATTGCTAATGAATTCTACCGTTTTCCTATTACCATTAGTGGCCTAATAAATTGTCTTGTCCACTATTTTTTGTTTTAATTTTCTACTCACTAAATATAAAATAATTATCAATTTAAAATCATTTACTCCACTAATAATTATGATTATTAGTGGACTAATAAATACATTTATGTCTATTTTGCTTTTATTAATATATTAACGAATATTCTTGAGAACATTTTTTGGTATATTTTTTAACTTTTTAAATTGCAATAATGTATTGACACTTATAAGCCAATCAAAATTTTCAATATAGAAGATTAATATCTCATTAACTATTTATCAATTTTCAGTATACCATAACATAAAATATTGACACAGTTTTTGGTATATTTTTTACTTTTTTTAATTATAATAATCTATTGACATTTGTAAGTCTAAATGCAATTTCCAATATATAAGATTAGTATCTCATTAACCATTCATACATTTTCAATATATCATGATATAAACTATTTTCTAATATTAACATTAATCATCATATATGGTGATTTATAAATATTATATATCTTAAATGACAAATAAAAATAAAAATATATGCCATATGTATGATGTGTTGGAAGATGAGGTGGTTTAAAAATTAAAATATATGCCACATGGATGACGTGCTGGAGATGATGTGGCTTCATCACTGCCTACACCGATGTTCATCGTTCGAGCTTTTTCTGCAACATAAGAGCATATGGAGAAGATGTCGATCTTGATCTCCTCCAAAATTCTTGAACTACAATTACAAGTCACGATATGTTTTGATTTCTGGAGAAGAGCAAAGACAAAGAGGATAGAAGAAACAAATCTTTACCCAAAAATTTATGCAACTAAAAAGTCTTAAACAAATTTACAACATAAAGCACACTATTCCAAACAATATTTTTTTTTACCAGCTCTGGCCAATATTGTCAAAAAGACATCGTAGAGAAGAAGGTGGATGAATGAAAGACAGGGACCACTGTCCAATCCAAGGTTCCTAGCAATATTATCACGATCCATGCTCTTATTAAAACTTTTATTCTCTTGTTTATCGTTCAGATCCTGCCATCGCATTAAACAAACAACATAAATTCAACCATGATATTCTTACAAGTGGTGTACCGGATACCGAAAGACTCTGCACATGTTCAGGAGGAGATGACACCCACTGAAAATCGGTACCTGGAAGAAAGGTGGAAGGGTCGGGTACCTTTTCCTCGGGCATTCTGGAATTTCAGATTGTAGAACTGGCTTGATTTCTTTGCTCATCTCAGCAAATTCTTCTGACGGTGTAATCAAGTTACGGTCTTTATGTTTTCCCGTCTATGAAACTTATTATTGTTTAAACCCACCACATTTTGTTTTCTGAATAAACAATTATCTTTTATAGTCATTTCTTTAATGACTTTAAATTTACCCCATTCTTTTCTCCTTACGTTACTTGATTGTACATTTACATCCACTCCTTTTAATATTTAATTCATGTTTTATTGTAAATATTATATATATATATATTCCTACTCATTAACAATATTATGTAGATAATGACGGTAACCTAAATTATTTTTTACTATTACCACTAACCAAGATTTTTAAATACAATATAATATACAATATTCATTAAAATCATCATGAGATATTTGAGTTTTTGAATGACAAATCAAAATTAAAACAAATGTCATTACGTTGAAGTTACATCTACCTTCACTCTTTTGAATATTTAATTCATGTTTTATTGCAAATATTATATATATATATATAGATATTATGATAAATGCTATATATATTATGATAAGTGTCAATTGTATAATAAATTGGAATTAATGGGAAAACAATTTGAGATAACGGATCTTGCTTTTAATTTTTTAATTTTATCTCTAGTAAATATCACATTAGTAAACGTAATCGACGTTCCACTTTATATGTTATTCTTAATAAAACTTTATAATTTATCTATTACTATTTTGCAAATAAACAAAATCTTCTCCAAAATAACAATACATTTTATTACAAATAATTATAATTTATTAATAATTTATCTTAGCATCTTATTTTGGATTCATCATTTCTATATTTTTAAAAGTGTTTATTTAATTTTATTGATTTCATTTTAGACTAATCATTTTCATATTTTTATTTTAAAAGTTTCTCATTTATATTGTCTATTACTATTATGTAAATAAATAAATCTATTCAAAATAACAATACATTTTATTACAAATAATTATATTTTATTAATTTATTTTAGCATCTTATTTTGTATTCATCATTTCTCTATTTTTAAAAGTTTTTATGTAATTTTGATAATTTTATTTTGGACTAATCAATTTTTATATTTTTAAAGTTTCTCATTTATGTCTATTATGATTTTTTTCATAACCAATCAAAATTAAACAAAATGACAAATAGGATGCTTAGGTGGCTTCACCACAATCCTTTAAACTCCTTTATTAATATAGATAGATTTTCACGTCTTATTCCATCATATATATCTAATTATTTTAATAAGGAAAATACCATTTACTAAAATATTGTAAAAAATGTTTAAAAAATAGCTATTAATTAATATTCAAATTTCAATATGAATTACTCATAAAACAATATCAATTTGACACGAAATATTAAGGTATGTTAATTAGTTACGGTCTATAAAGTTGTTTATTGATATTATAATTCCCTTTTTATTGAAAAAAAATATTTACACAGATGATAATGGAGCTGATATGATGACAAAGGCGTTACCAAGAGGGAAGCTGGATGTTTGTTGCAAGATTGCCGGTTGGCAATCTCCTCTACTTAGTCTAAGGGGGAGAATCATGGGGTTTCCTCCTAAGTGTGATTAGTTGTGAGGCCACCACCATTATTGCATTTGGTGGAAATACAACTATGCATTAGGTAGAAAGAATGGTAATGGTGGAAAACACCATTACGATGAAGATAATTCATTATTGCAACTTTGTCTAAAGTTGATGTGATCAAGAGCTATAAATAGAGGAGCTTTGGTTGTGGTTCTATCATCCCAAACACAAGAGTTCCAAGAAAGAGAAGAAGAAAGAAAAAGAGAGAGAGAGAGAGGGAGAAAGAGTGAAAGAAAACAGTTTGTGCTGTTGTGAACAAGCCTTCGATCGAATATTCATTTCTTGTCCGATCGGTCCGAATTTTGGAGGAAAGCTCTACACTCATTGTTCTTGATTTTTCCGGTGAGATCTTGATTCTAACGGCCAGAATATGAGAAACGGAGTTTCTACCGAAGCTGTTCGACATTGGCGTTTCCAACAGCACATGTCCAAGTGATTTGGAGATTTGGATGGTCATCTCTTCTCCGTTTGAACTGAAATTTGGTATGTTTATTCTAGACCCTCTGAGCTTTTGATTTCTACGGAGAAATTGGAATTTGGTTGCCGAAATCATAAGTTACGGGTTAGCTTGATGCCTAAGTTACAGCTTGTTCTTTCGGGTTTATTGAGATTGAATATTGGATTTATATTCGGAAGTCTCGGTTGTATTTCTTGTCTATTGGAGACTGAAGTGTGGACGTTGTAACCTAGAAATTTGAGATTATAGTGGATTTTTGGGTGGACTACGGTCCCGTGGTTTTTACTCCTCACACCGAGGAGGTTTTCCACGTTAAATCGGTTGTCTCATCTAAGTTTCCGTTTTTACTAGATATTGTCATTCTAACATGCTCACACAAGTAAAGGGTTCTCATTTACCGAATCGTGATTCACGGTAAAACCCCAACAAAGTGGTATCAGAGCATCTTGGTTATGCAGTGCACTTGTGTGAGTGATGGAGGCAAATACTAGTAGGATGGTCAGTTTGAACGGTACCAACTATCACATATGGAAAGGCATGATGGAGGATCTGCTCTACGTGGAGGAGTGTCATCTACCGTTGTTCGTCGAGAAAAAACCGGAGGGCAAAACTGATGAGCAATGGACATTGCTACATCGACAAGTTTGTGTCTTGATACGACAATGGGTGGATGATAACGTTTTGAACCATTTGGCTAGTAGGACTAATGTTCGATCTTTATGGAGCAAGCTAGAGCAGTTGTATGCTCGAAACACTGGGAATCGCAAGTTGTACTTCATCAAGAAGTTGGTCGATTTGAAGTACACTGAAAACAGTCCGGTGATAAATCACTTGAACGTGTTTCAAGGTCTATTGAACCAATTGTCTGATATGGGGATCACCTTCGAAGATGAAGTTCAAAGTTTATAACTTCTCAGCACACTTCCAGATTCGTGGAAGATATTCAGGATGTCGTTGTCGAATTCAGCTCCAGACGGTATCATCTCAATGGAATATACGAAGAATAGTATTCTGAATGAGGAGACGAGGAGACAATCTTAAGAAGCTTCCCCGAGTTCTGATATTCTGGTATCTGAATCGAGGGGGAGGAGTGAGAATCGGAATCCAAAGGAGAAGAATCGGAGCAGGAGAAAATCTAACAATTTTGCAAATGTGGAGTTGTCCGTTGGAATTTTTTCAACGGATTTTCAATTACGATTCAACGATGAATTCCGTTAAAATTTCGTTGAAATTTCCAACGGATATCCGTTGGAAACGCCCGTTGAAAATTTTCAACATAATTTTCAACATATTCAATTGAAAAATTGGGTTAAAAATTTCAGATAGCATTTCCAACGGATATCCGTTGAAATTTTTTAACGGATTTCGGTTGGAAATTTCCAACGGATTTCAGTTTTTTTTAAATAATTCCAACAGAATTCCAACGGAAAACAATTGGAATTTAAAAAAACATTCCAACGAAATTCCAACGGATATCGGTTGGAAATTTAGATTTTAGTTGAAAAAATCAATTGAAAAATATATATACTAATACTTATATAATATATATATATATATATTTATTTATTTATTTTTATTTAAATACATGTATTTTATATATTTATAGTATAATATATATGTATAAATATAGTTATACTTTGTGTATAAATATTTTTATATGTAAAAATATAATGTATAATATATACATACATATATATATATATGAATTCGAATATGTATATAAATAAATATATATACATATATACATATAAATATTCATATATATATATGTATGTGTGTATGTATATATATATAAATGTTTGTATTTATATGCATTATATATATATATATATATATTAATGTTATATGATATCTGAAGTTTAGCTTGGAGCAGTTGGATGATTGTCAATTGGAACATTAGGGTTAAGAAGGATTGAGCTAGAGCAGTGTAATGGGTGACCTATTGGGAAATGAGTTCGGAGATTAAATTTCAGAGCTTCGGGATCGGGGTCGGGGTTGCAGTCGGGGTCGGGGTCGGGAATATGTTTGGAATTGTTCTTTGAAAATTTTCAACGGATATCGGTTGGAAATTCCGTTGGAAAATTCCAACGGATCGCGGTTGGAAATCCGTTGGAAATTTACAACGGAAAATCCAATGAAAATTCCAACGATTGTCCAAGGGATACGAATTTCCAACGACGAAATTCCAACGGATAAATCAGTTAGAAATCCGTTGGAAACAGTCATTTCCAACGGAAATTTGGCCACTTCCAACAGATTTACCTGTTGGAAATAGCCATTTTTTTGTAGTGCAAGAAGGATTTCTTGAAATTGGAGAAGGGCAACAAGAAAGGAAATAAGCAACAAGACTACGAGGAACGGGTTGTAGTTGCAAGACATGAGTTTCTGATCATGATCGATGGTGAAATGATCAACCTCGCATGTCATGAGACCAGTTGGGTGATTGACAGTGGAGCTTCTATTCATGCCACATCACGACGTGAATTCTTTGCTACTTATACTCTAGTAACTTTTGGTTTCGTCAAGATGGGTAATGACGGAACAGCTCAGTCATTTGCATTGGAGATGTCTGCTTGGAGACTAGTCTTGGTACTAGACTTGTGCTTAAGGATGTTTAGCATGTTCCAGATGTTCGTCTGAACTTGATCTCATCGGGAAGACTGGATGTCGAAGGCTTCTGCGGTACATTTAGTGGAGGTCAGTGGAAGATTACTAGAGGTGCCATGGTCGTGGCTCGTGGGACGAAGTCTTCGTCACTGTACTTAATGCACGCTAAACTTTCTAAGGATATCGTAAATGTCTTAGAGAGTGAAGATGCTATTGAGTTGTGGCACAAGAGACTCGGTCATATGAGGGAGAAAGGAATGTTTGTTCTGGCGAAGAAGGAGGTTCTACAAGGAGTCTTAGGATTACATTTGAAGAAATGTGATCATTGTTTTGCGGGGAAACAGAACAGAGTTGCGTTCAAGTTTTCTATACCTTTGAAAAAAATCAGAGATTCTCGATTTAGTGCACTTGGATGTGTGTGGTCCATTGAAGACGAGATCAATGGGTGGTGCATCATATTTCGTCACATTCATCGATGATCAATCGAGAAAATTGTGGGTGTATATGATGAAGACTAAGGATCAAGTTCTGTGCATTTTCAAGCAGTTTTCATGTCTTATTAGAGAGACAAACTGGAAAGAAGTTGAAGTGTATCCGAAGCGATAATGGAGGTGAATACTTCGGACCGTTTGATTCCTATTGTCGTGATCAAGGGGTTAGACATGAGAAGACGCCACCGAAGACACCACAGTTGAATGGGTTGGCAGAGAGGATGAACAGGATGATCATGGAGAGAGATGTTATCTGATTCCTCAATCAGGCTTGTCGAATTCCTTTTGGGGTGAAGCTTTGAACACCATGGTTCATGTATTGAACTTGTCACCTAGCGCTCCGTTACATGGTGATGTTCCAGAGAAGGTTTGGGCTGGTAAGGATTTTCTTACCGTCATTTGAAGGTCTTTGGGTGTAAAGCGTTTGTTCATATTTCTAAGGATGAGAAGTCAAAGCTGGATGCGAAGTCAAGACAATAAGTGTTCATCGGATACGGTCTTGATGAAATGGGATATAGATTCTATGATCAAGTTGAGAAGAAGCTTGTCAGAAGTGGAGACGCTGTGTTCATGGAGGATCAAACTATTCGGGATATTCAGAAGTGCAAAAATCCAGCTCAGAGTAGCAGTGGTTTGATCGACTCAGAGATGATTCCTCGAACGACAGTTGAGGATTCTACTGGAGGTGAGGTTTAAGGTGATACACCTGGTATAGATGCTCCCGTACAGATTGATGATGGTAGTGGTGAAGACCATCGGGTTGAGTCGCCAACTATCGAAGACTCATCGATGTTGAGAAGGTATGAGAGAGCTCGGAGACCATCAACGAAGTATAGCTCCAGTGAGTATGTATTACTTACTGAAGGGGGAGAACCAGAGAGTTTTGATGAGGCTTTCAGAGATGAACACAAGGACGAATGGATGAACGTCATAAATGACGAGATGGATTCTTTGTACAAGAATCAAACGTTCGAGTTATTGAAGCTACCAGAGGGTAAACGAGCATTTATTAACAAATGGGTGTTCGGGGTTAAGCATGAAAAGCACAATCTGCATCGCGATATAAGGCTAGACTAGTCGTAAACGGTTTCAGTCAGAAGAAAGGAGTTGATTTTGATGAGATCTTTTCGCCAGTTCGGAAGATGTCATCCATACGGGTTGTTCTGGGATTGGCAGCTAGTCTTGACTTAGAGCTTGAGCAAATGGATATGAAGACGACTTTCCTTCATGGTGATTTGAAGGAAGAGGTTTACATGATAGAACCTGAATGCTTTGTTGAGAAAAGCAAAGAGGATTATGATTATCGGTTGAAGAAAAGTATTTATGAGTTGAAGCAAGCATCGAGACAATGGGTGTAAGAAGTTTGAGTCAGTTATGGGGGAGCATGGCTACAAGAAGACGACTTCTGATCATTGCGTGTTTGTGCAGAAGTTTTCCGATGATGATTTTATCGTCTTGCTGCTCTACGTGGACGATATATTGATTGTGGGCAAGAACATGGAGAGGATAACAGAGGTGAAGAAATAGCTTGGCCGGTTCTTTGCTATGAATGATTTTGGATCAGGGAAGCAGATTCTTGGGATAAGAATTGCTCGGGACTGAAGTAACAAGCAATTGTATCTATCACAGGAGAAGTACATTGAGAAAGTACTTCAACAGTTTCATATGGAGAACTCTAAAGTTGTGAGCTCATCTCTTGCTTCACACTTTAGATTGAACAGTCAGTAGAGTCCGAGTACAGATTCAGAGAATGAGGATATGAGATGAGTTCCATACGCCTCTGTAGTGTGGAGTTTGATGTATGCTATGGTTTGTACAAGACTGGATATTGCTCACGTCGTTGGGAGTGTCAGTCGGTTTCTTTCTAATCCACGAAGAAAACATTGGAATGCAGTGAAGTGGATTCTGAGATATCTTCGAGGGACTTCCGGTTTCAGAATTGTACTTTGAGGTAACAAACCTTTGTTGGTTGGTTACACAGATTCAGATATGACAGGAAATACAGATTCAAGGAAATCTACTTCGGATTGCTTGGTAACTTTTGCGGACGGAGCTGTGTCATGGCAATCGAAGTTGCAGAAATGCGTTGCACTTTCTACCACTGAAGATGAGTTCAATGCCGCAATTGAAGCTTGTAAGAAGTTATTGTGGATGAAGAGATTTCTTGAGCAGCTTGGTTTTAAATAAGATAGGTACATCTTGTTTTGCGACAGTCCGAGCGCTATTCATCTTGGAAAGAATCAGATGTTTCATTCAAGATCAAAGCATATTGACATGAGGTATTATTGGATACGAGATGTTGTGGATTCGAAGGAGGTTGAACTTGAAAAAGTTCACACAGATGATAATGGAACTGATATGATGACAAAGGCGTTACTAAGAGGGAAGCTGGATGTTTGTTGCAAGATTGTCGGGTTGGCAATCTCTTCTACTTAGTCGGAAGAGGGAGAATTATGAGGTTTCCTCCTAAGTGTGATTAGTTGTGAGGCCACCACACCATTATTGCATTTGGTGAAAATACAACTATGCATTAAGCGGAAAGAATGGTAATGATAGAAAACACCATTATGATGAAGATAATTCATTATTGTAACTTTATCTAAAGTTGATGTGATGAAGAGCTATAAATAGAGGAGTTTTGGGCGTGGCTCTATCATCCCAAACACAAGAGGTCCAAGAAAGAGAAGAAGAAAGAAAGAAAGAAAGAGAAGGAGAAAGAGTGAAGAAAACAGTTTGTGCAGTTGTGATCAAGCCTTCGATCGGATATTCATTTCTTGTCCGATCGATCTGAATTTTAGAGGAGAGCTCTACACTCATTGTTCTAGATTTTGTCCGGTGGGATTTTCATTCTAACGGTCAGAATATGAGAAACGGAGTTTCTACCGAAGTTGTTCGCCATTGACGTTTCCAACAGTACATGTCCAAGTGATTTGGAGATTTGGATGGTCATCTCTTCTCTGTTTGAGCTGAAATTTGGTATGTTTATTCCAAACCCTCTGTTTTGATTTCTACGGAGAAATTGGAATTTGGTCGCCGGAATCATAAGTTACGGGATTAGCTTGCTGTCTAAGTTACAACTTGTTTTTTCGGGTTTATTGAGATTGAATATTGGATTAATATTCGGAAGTCTTGATTGTATCTCTTGTATGGACGTTGTAACCCAGAAATTTGAGATTATAGTAGATTTTTGGGTAAACTATGATCCCGTGGTTTTTACTCCTCCCAATGAGAAGGTTTTCCACGTTAAATCGGTTGTCTCGTTTAAGTTTCCGTTTTTACTAGATATTGTTATCCTAACCTGCTCATATAAATAAAGGGTTCTCATTTACCGAATCGTGATTCACGGTAAAAACCCCAATATATCGATATTATAATTCCCTTTTTATTGAAAAAATGTTATATACCCTTTTCGTTTATCTAGTTTATTCACCTTTGAAATGAAATGGTTCTCATTTTATTCATGTTTACTATTTTAAATTTGATTATTTTGATGGCGACTTAATGTTCCATAGCTACTCGTCATTTTTTTCAACGGTCCTAATTTATCTTCAAATACTAAGACAAATTCAACAACATTTTTTTGTTTAATTATTCTTAGTAAATGTTCTGCACGCAACTCAATAATTTAAAATATTTCGTCTTCGTTATCATAGTATCAATAAAAATTATTTATATATCACAAATTCAACACTTTTTTCCTAACATGTGTACTAATGATTTAAAAAAAAATGGTTATCTTTGAAAAAAATGCAAAAAAAAAAATTCCATAATCGACGCAAAGTTCACTATAGCTTGAGTGACTGTCTATTGCAATTTAATCTATATATGTGTATCTATAGAAACTAAAATAAATTGCCTAATTTCAATCGAGCCCATTTGGGCTTTGAATTTATACAACCACACCTTTTTTCCCCTTGATTATTATTTTGTACAAATTTAGATGCATGACCACATCATCATCATCACCGTCACCGTCACCATCATCATCGTACGGACAGTAATTATCATCTCTGCCAAATTTCTCCTCACCTTTCCATGTCCCGATGTCCAAACAGTTTACCCATTTGGACAAAACTCGGGTTACTTAATTTCTGCGACTCGATGTCCTGTTCTTCACGGTCTTGTTCCGTCTGGTCTTTGGTGGTCAACGCTGAGTACTCGACGTTTTGACCGTAAACCCGGTAAAGAACCAAGTAAAGGGACATGACGAAGATCGTGATTCCGACAAGCGACCAGCTGAACTCGATGTTGACCAACGACTTGGCTCGGTGTAAGGCTTCGTGGCTCGAGCATCGGACCACTTGGTGACCCTCTTCGAGGTGGAGAGAACATCCCTTTGGGATCAAACTCGGCGTCCAAAGCATGTAGCCCATCGTTATGAACCATATTCCTTGAAATATTATGCTCGATGACCTCACAAAACTCACCAAGAAACTCTTGGGCATGGCGATTCCTGTCGCGATGGATTAGTATATAGTTAATATGATTTTGTCCCGAGTGATTAGTATTATTTATCAAGAATACGCAAAGTCAAAGCAGTTAACTACTGGTGTATAATACTTTAAGACAATAGTACGAAAAAACACGAATTTTTAAAAATTCTCGTATAAATATATACGTAAATTTTGAAGCTTTTAAAAAAAATATACAACCTTTGCAAATATTGCCATAAACCAATATAAAGTTTGCAAATATCTACATGAAATTATCATAACATTTACAAAGTTTATTTATTTTGGTAAAAATTTCAAAATATTAATACATCTTAATTTTTTAAATTTGCTAATATATGTTAACTTTTAAAATTTATGCACGAATTGTAAAACTTATAAAAATAATATATAAACCCAGGTAAATTTTGTGAATATCTATATTGGGTTACAATAATATTTATAAAATATATGTATTTTGGTAAAAATTTCAAAATTCATATATTTATATGATTCTGGTTGGACAAAAGCATGCAGGAAACGTGATTAGCGTGAAGGTTCGAAACTGATACAAAAAGTTTGAATCTTTTTTGATGGAGAGACAGTATGTACCCATAAGAGTGGTGACGAGAGAGACGAAGATGACGAACTGCAGAAGCAAATGGTACTGTCCTTCAACGCCCATGTGATCGGCGGAATGAAGATGGAAAAGGAAGAGCTGCTGAGCAAAGGCAATGGCTCCGACCAAGTTGGTGAGTCCGTACGAAGCTCGAGGACCGGTCTTGTCGAAAACAAGGGCGAAGGCCGCGTAGGCAAAAAACGTCATGGAAATGGAAGAGTGCTCGAAATTGTGGAGATGGTTCGACGGTATGGTGCCGTCGGAGTCGAAGGGTTGGTGTTTCTTGGGTCCAATGAAGAGTTCCATGGCTATGGAGATGGAAGAACCCACCATGATAAGGTAGAGCTCCAAGTGTCTGAGCTTAGAAGCTGGGAACCACGGCGATGAAGTGTAGGTTTTGGGGTGAAGGCAGAATAGTTTTATGTGGTTGAATATGTGCCATAGCCCAAGTGCCAAGAAGGCAAACCCCGGTGCAACATGACCCACAAGTGTTCCCATAGGACAGAGAGAGAGAGTGAGAGTTCTTGTAGTGGAGCTGTTGGGAACTATGTCACCTTCCTAGTCCTAGATGTATTTAAAGTGTTCCCATAGAGAGAGAGAGAGAGAGAGAGAGAGAGAGATGAATTAGAGGTGGGGTTAGGGGGTTTAGGGATAAATAAATGAATGAGGGTCTAGAGGGTTCTTTTTGGAAAAGTTGTACGTCTTTGAATGAATGAATGAATGAATGAATGAAGAGATGATGATGGCTCGAGGAAGAAGGGATTGGTTTTGGTTGACCAAAGCAGGTGGGACGACTCGTCTTTCGTTTCTAGAATTTTGGGGAAATTTATAATTTCTTCAAAATCAACATTTATAAACATTTTCTTCTGTTGTCAAATGTTTTCATATCTCTATTGCCTCTTTCTTTACTTACTTTCTATATATTCTTGTGCAAAAATAAATGTCTTGTGATTTTTTGTTGTTGTTGTAATGGTTATTGATTCACTACTCTTTAATTTTGTATTCATTAAGAATTGATTTATTTTTAATCACTTCCTTAATTATATCTCTCTATTCAATGCAAACAACAATAGAAAGATATGGTACTTTAGATTTTTTTTAACCAAAAAAAAAACAATAGAAAGATATGGTTCACATGGATCGCATGAATTGGTAAGGTTAGGTTAATTTTGGAGTTTGGACCCCAAAACACCCCTCATTAGATTTTTTTTGTGTGTGTATAAAAGTGTAATATTTTTTGTAAAATTAATATAGAAAACGAGTAAATTAATATAGATGTTTAAATATCAAAACTTGAAAAAGAAAAAAGAGATATGGTATACCCAAGAGTTTCATTGTCGAATAAAAATGTTTGGGGTAAAAAACAAATTGTGGCCTAACTTTGGGGGTTATATTGATAATTTAAATTTTGTGTTGAAGAGATTTCTACCTGAGAGAGAGAAGATTTTGACTCTTCGTTTGCGGGTCAAAATGTGGTATCAAAATGGCTGCGGCCCCCAAACTCATATCCAATTGAACATTCTAATGTCCATTTCACGCACACGTGTCATTTTTACATATTTATATCCAAAATAAGGTCATATATATATATATATATATATATATATATATCTTAATTATTGATATTTATTATTAAGACCTAAGGAAGACAATTATTATTGTTATGTTTTTTTTTTCACTTCCGTAGATCCTATCTTTATCCGTTTACTTTTCTTCTTTCGTTTTTATTTTTTTTCTCTATTCTCTCTAATATATATGTAAAACGTGAAATCTTCTAAAATAATATATAAAAAGTCATTGTAAAAAAATATAATACTCCATCCTTTTCAAAATATTTGTAGTTTTAGGTTATTTTTCATGTTTCAAAATATTAGTCATTCTATATTTTCAAGACATTTTTTTACAATAGTTTCTAATTTTATCCCTACCAAATTCCAATAAATTTTTAATGATAACATTATTTTTATCATCAAAATTTAATGAATAAAAATATTAAATAAGAGTATATATGATTTTTTTTCTTTTTTCTTAAAAATTGTAAAATAACTTAAAACTATAAATATTTTGAAGAGGAAGAAGTATCTATTATCACACACATGACACGTGACACGTGTGTGTATATATATATATATATATTGCGTGAGTTAATTATTTTTATTGCTACTACTATTCTCAAATTATAATTAGTAATTTTACTGCCACCACCACTACTAAAGGTGTTCATGAGTAAGGAAGCTTAGTATTATTAATTACTCTTTAATTTATATAAGTAGGTTAACCTAATAATAATACACGGAAAAATACATATTTATCCTTCTATAAGTGAAATATTTTAAAAAATCAAGTATTTGAATTTGTAAAGTAAAAGTTTAGGTATTTTATTTTAAGATTCATATTCGAATTCGAGGGTTATAACTGAAAATTTAATAAAAAAATAATGTTTACACAGAAAATATTAAAAAAAATGAAAGTGTAATTTTTGAAAAATAATGAATTGCGGTGAAAATATGAGTTAGAGGGATTTAATAAAACACATAAAAATAAATTTAGTGTTTTTGAGAGAATGTTTAGAAATTATAGACAACCTCAAAATATTTACGAAAATATTATAAAATACATAGAAGTAGCAATATGGACGGGTTTATAAAATTATATTATCCGAATGCGAATTCGGAGTGATTATGGGTATTTTCCCAAGCCCCAACTACTACTACTGTACTGTTATTATAAGAATGGGCCGAGGCCGAAGTTTAGGCTGTTGGGCCCACTTCTCTCCTTATGGGCCGCAGCATTTTAATATATGGGCTTCCACCTAACCCAAAAATATAAAATGTCCACCAAATCCAAAGTCTTGGGTCGTTTCAATATTTGGGCTGGTTATATCTATCTACGTGTAAACAAAAAATAATAAAAGAAAACAACAAATAAAGGTATAAGATATTTGGTGATTTGGAAATATGAATACGAGTTCAGAGGTTTTTTTTTTGTGAATCTCATATGTTATTATTTAGAATATTACAATATCTTTGTTACTCTCCAAATTATAAAATATCATATTTCCTAAAAATTTAGAAAATATTTGTGACCGTATTAAGCAATTAATATATGATATTTGCCAATTTTCACATTATATATTTCTATTTGCATGAGAATGAAACGTCACCACTAGGGATGCACAAAATATTCGAATCCGAAATAATCGAATCAAACTGACTGATATATATCCAAATTAAATCGAACCGATTAAAATAACATACCCGATTGGATATGAATATTTTAAATCCGAAATATTCGAATCTGAAATAACCGAACCTAAAATAACCGTAAACCGAATAAACCAAACCTGAATTAATCGTAACCGAATATATCCGTTTATCCATCCATATATCATCAATTAATATATAATATATTCTAAATCTAATTAGAAAAATTAGTATTATAATATTGTTTTATAACCATGCTATATATAAAAACGAAATATGTATGTATTTTAATGTTGTTTTTGTTATTTTTATAAGATAATTGTTTGAATTTTTTTATCGTTTTTTTGTTTGGAATCGAACCCGATCCGATTCGAATCTGAACCGAACCGATTAAAAACATATATCCGATTGAATATGACTATTTCAAACCTAAAATACCCGAACCCAAAATAAACAAACCAATTAAACCGAACCTGACCGATCGTCCACCCCTAGTCGCCACCCACCGTGTAATATAACCGTAAATCACCAAACAGTCAAACGCGACAATCGCTGATTTTTCATGACGTGGCATATACCATTTCCTCTTTCTACTCTCTCTCTAATTTGCGTTTCTTCCATTTTTTTTTTCTGTACTTTTTCTTCTGCCAACGAACCCTAATCCCCCAAATCGATTTCTCATCGGAGGAACAATCAAATCCGATCTCTTTCGTGGTTCTTAGCTCTAGTTTTCAAATCCATCATGAGTTTGATGATCGTTGTGGGAGGACTATAATGATCGGACTCTTTGCGTCCCGTCTCGATTGCATGGGGTTTGAGCTATGCCGGAGCTTCGCCGTGGAGTCCGACGTGGTCGTGGTGCTGCTTCTGTAGCTATAAATCAGCTGGAACAGCCACCTGCGGAGAGAAAGCAGCGGCGGAATTACGGCAGAGGCCGTGGTGCGATCGCTGGCGGAGCCCTCGAGGCGGCGGAAAGGCCTAGAACGAGATTGGCCGCGAGGAGGCTAAAGCAGGAAGACAAGGGTATCGTTCAGGAGAACCCGGTGATTATAGTTTCAAAGGAGAGTGACATCGATAGGAAGAAGGGTAAGAAAGTTGTCGGTGAAGAAGATAAGAAAGCAATGGCAATCGGTAACGATAGCGGTGGATCGAACAAGGCGGCTGCGCAGGAAGAGGAAGGCAATACGGCGCCATTCCCAGAGAGGGTATTGATTTTTTTTTCCCTTTCGAATATCTTACATTTTTTAAATGAATTCGATTATAATGTTGCAGCTGCATTTGTGCTTGTTTGGTACTACTTCATGGTTTCGTTACTGAAGGCAGTTTTTCATCTAGATTGCCTACGCATTGTGTTGTGTCTAGTGCGTTCTTGGAACCTTGGTTTCCAGTTTGTGAAGTGTTTTTGCCATGTGCCTTTGGCTATGGACATTTGTTTTTTGTTGGAATATTTGGATGAATTTTTTTTTAATGGATTTGCATTGGAGCATGATCTCTTTTTCGCAAAATTAGTTGTTCTGGTCTAAACTAATGTAATGTTCATCTGTCTCTGTCTTTTACCAGGTCCAAGTGGGAGGATCACCTTTATATAAGGTTGACAGGAAGTTGGGGAAGGGTGGGTTTGGACAAGTATTTGTCGGCCGTCGTATTGGTGGTGGGAATGAACGTAGTGCAGGAGCAAGCATCATGGAGGTAGAATAAGTTCTATCCATCTTGACATTGTAGCGGCTGTATACCATAAGGATACAGCTTTTAGAGTAATTCCGTTTCAAAATTCTGTAATTTCGTCTTGCTTTTATCAGATAGCACTGAAGTTTGAGCATCAAAGCAGCAAGGGTTGCAACTATGGTCCTCCACATGAATGGCAGGTGTACAAGTAGGTGTCCCATTTGCTTGTGTTTCTTTTGATGTTTTATTTCGGGTATTCTTTTTCGCCCAGTTTTAGTTGTTTCATTAACGGAAATCATTTTTTATTTTATGGTGAACAGCACCCTTGGTGGTAGTCATGGAGTCCCTAGAGTACACTACAAAGGGAAGCAAGGAGACTATTATGTTATGGTAAGAGTCTGGACCTGATGTCTTTCCTTTCTGCTCTTCAGTATCGCTGATATGTTTGCCGTTTGGTGTATCTTGGTCCAGGTTATGGACATGCTTGGCCCGAGCTTATGGGATATATGGAATTCTTCAGGACAGGCGTGAGTTTTCATTTCCCAATATCGCAAAGCTTCCGGTTTCTAGTTTTATGAATCATGTATTTCCATTATGGATGATCTCCAGATTTGCAACTGTTTCTTACTCAATATGTGGCACAAACTATTGTGCTGATTGTAGCACGACATTCAAATCTATGGATTGTAGGAATATGACAATTCTAATGTCTTCTTTTTTCCCTTTGAGCAGAATGTCCTCGGAAATGGTAGCCTGCATTGCAGTTGAGGCCCTATCCATCCTTGAGAAGATGCATGCAAAAGGGTATTTACTTGATTTTTTTTAATCTTTGCATTTCACTTGGGTTTTCAAAGTTTTTCGTTCTTTGGTTAATCATCAGCTTCTTTTGGTTCGTGTTTGCTCTTCAGCTGACTAGCATAACAAATCACGATTGTTTCTCGTTTCAGTTATGTTCACGGAGATGTTAAACCAGAGAACTTTTTACTTGGCCAGCCTTCAACGACTCAAGAGAAGAAGCTGTTCCTTGTTGATCTTGGATTAGGTTAGTTGAGTTTATTCTCTCTTGGTAATTCTTTTTAGTTCGCCTTCCTTTCTCATTGCGTGATCCTATATTTCAGCGACAAAATGGAGAGAGAGCGGCACTGGACAACATGTTGAATATGATCAACGTCCTGATATGTTTAGGTTAGACTTTTTTTGCAGTTTGCAATTTCAGGATTTTGATATTCTCTCTTGCATTTCTCCTGAGTTTTCCTGGTTCAATTTCTTTAGGGGGACAGTTCGATATGCAAGTGCACATGCTCATTTGGGAAGAACTGCCAGCAGAAGGGATGATCTTGAATCCCTGGCATACACGCTCATCTTCCTTCACAGAGGCAGATTGCCATGGCAAGGATATCAGGTATGGGTGCTGTAATACATCGCAAACCTCTCTCTTTGCTTTGTGCCATCATGCAGTTTAGCACATTTTATTGTCTGCTAATCACTTCGCAATCTCAGGGAGATAATAAGTGCTTCTTGGTTTGCAAAAAGAAGATGGCAACATCACCTGATATGCTTTGCTGTTTCTGCCCTCCTCCTTTCAAGCAATTTCTCGAAATTGTGGTAAACATGAAATTTGATGAGGAACCCAACTATGGCAAGTTAATCTCTTTGTTTCAAGATCTCTTAGGACCAAACCCATCCATAAGGCCTATAAATACAGAAGGTGCTCAAAAGGTGATTGTTACATGGTGTACATTTCCTCCCTTTTTTTGTAATTGTTATCTTGGATTTGTATTTTGATGTCTTGTTTTGTTTGCTAGATCATTTTTCAAGTTGGACAGAAGCGAGGTAGGTTGAGCATTGGGGAAGAAGAAGAAGAGGTGCCTAGGAAAAAAGTCCGTCTAGGAGTTCCCGCAACACAATGGATATCAATTTACAATGCTAGGCAGCCGATGAAACAAAGGTAATATTCATGATTGTCTATTTATATGGTCATGATTTATTTAATTGCTAATGTAATTTATTTGCCGGCCACCTACTTCACTGGAAAGTTCTAAAGAATTAAATTAGTATTGTGATTATGTTTTCAATAGTTTCCTTGGTCGCAGACTTTTGGTTCCTGGGCTTGGATGTGTCTTATCTAAAAATTTGCTTATAATTTTATTGTGTGCTAGGTACCATTATAATGTGGCCGATATAAGATTGGCACAGCATATTGAAAGAGGTATTGCGGATGGTTTGTTGATAAGTTGTGTGGCATCATGTTCTAATCTCTGGGCCCTGATAATGGATGCTGGAACCGGGTTCACGAGCCAAGTTTACGAACTGTCTCCTGTCTTCTTGCACAAGGTAATTTCATCGTTTTTTGCTTCTAGTTCTTGTGTTTGTGCCTATCAAAACGGCCTTAAAAGAAAGCAAAGTCATGTGCCGAATCCGACAGGAGTGGATAATGGAACAATGGGAGAAGAACTACTATATAAGTTCTATTGCTGGGGCAAACAATGGAAGCTCCTTAGTTGTCATGTCAAAAGGTATCTGCGCTTTTTCTCTCCTATTTGTACTGTGAAACAATGATACTGCATTTTTTTGAAATTTATATCAAACTTGCAAGGAGACTCTAAATATGGGTTTTTTTACTAAGACTTTTGGGGAAAGAATGTTCCTATGATTGTGATAAGCCTCAACTCTCAAGGTTGTTTGATGAACTTTAGGAGATTTGGGGAAAGGAACTACTATATAAGTTCAAAAACCATTACCCGAACCCGAAATTCGGGTATTACTAAAATAAATACCCGATCTCATCCCGTTATGTGTTCGGATACCCTAATTTCGGGTACTCGTCTCGCAGGTCGGGTCGGGTATCCGAATTTCGGGTTTTTTTGCCCAGCCCTAGTAGAGGGGGATAAGACCGAACCGAAGAGGTTGAAGTCGAGTAGTCTACAGGTTTCTAATGGTTTTTCTTACATTAGGAATCTTCTATTTCTTTACGTTGGTTTTGGTTTCCTATTCTATCTAGGATTCTGTATAGGTTTGTACCTTACATAACGGACTTTTCTACGTGACAAAGGGGTTGGAGGTCTTTCAGCCTCTTGAAGTACCGAACTAGGGAGATACCTGACCTAGGAGTAGTGGGAATTTATTTTTCGATAGAATATTATCTTGGGTTCTATCATATTATCCCAGATTCTGTACTGAGTACTGACGGCTCATCTTGTGTTTGATTGATCAAATGTCTTTCTTGAAGGTACGCAGTTTACACAACAGTCTTACAAAGTTAGTGATTCATTCCCCTTCAAGTGGATAAACAAGAAATGGAGAGAAGGCTTCCATGTGACCTCAATGGCCACAGCTGGAAGTCGATGGGGTGTTGTCATGTCTCGCAACGCAGGCTACAGTGAACAGGTAATATTATTCACTTGGTTTTCTCCATGTGATGGATTCACACTTACAGACTCTCTATGGATCGGTTCCTTCGGCGCCTTTTAAACTATTGATGTTCACCTTACATGTGATGTATACCGGATTCAATTATTCCTTTTCTTGTATCTATAGGTTGTCGAGCTTGATTTTCTCTACCCGAGTGAGGGTATCCACAGGCGTTGGGACGGTGGGTTCCGAATCACGTCAACAGCCGCAACTACCGATCAAGCTGCTCTCATCCTCAGCATTCCAAGACGTAGGCTGGTTGATGAAACACAAGAGACGTTGCGTACATCACAATTTCCCAGCACACATGTTAAGGTAATACTTTCTCGACAGCATAGACAGCGAATTGTCAAATAAAATAACCAGAAAGCCTAATCTTTTCTGGTCTGATAAATCGTACAAAGTTTTCTTGATCTGCCCTTTGAATTTACTTTCCACACATATATGCTTGTCATTGAAATATATCAGTTCTCATCTTAATCATAGTTTTCTTTATTTATGCAGGAAAAATGGGGGAAGAACCTCTATCTTGCATCTCTATGCTATGGGCGTACTGTCTCTTGAGACTTAGTATTGTTGCAAGAAAAAAGAAAACTCTTTTGGCTCTGTTTCCTATTAGTTTCTTTATGGCTCTGCTCCCCTGCCTCTTTTCTTTCTTTCCTCAGTTCAATTGTGAAGCAATGTTGTTGTGTTTGCCAGCCAGGCAATTACCAGTGGCAGCAACGTTCACCAAAGTGTATTTATACTGACTCTTGTGGGAAAAATGTTCTGCTATCAATATTGACAAATATGGAATATCTGTGGTGCTGTATGCAAATGTATATATATCTTCACTTCTCCTTCCAGACACGGCCAGAAACACTCAGTTGCAGGTCCTGTCTGTTGATGCCATTGCCACCTGAGAAGAAGACAGCTAGTTTTTGTGGAATGATCAATCCATCTTGGCTGTTGCGGACCTTCTTGTGACTGTCGCGGATGCTTCTGGGAACTCCTTGCCAAACCAGCTTCCTGCCATTGCCGCCCTTGCTCTCGCGAAAGCATAGTGTAAAGCCGGAGAGGAGGATTCTCTATATGTTCTTCAAAGCTATCGAAAGTTACTCTCCCTAACCCGATGGATTTCGGGTTTTCCAGTAAAGGGTTGAACACAAACGAGAATTTCCCAAATGCAATGTCCGGTCTCTTGAACAGATCTTCAAGAATCTCCCCGTTAGATCCAATGTTTCTCGGTATATGTTTCCGAGAGTTACTACGGAAAATATCGACAACTTGTCGAATACGCGATGCTTCCCTTAAACCGCTTAGGGGAATGCCATATACACCGGCGCTTTTCTTAGGTGAAATGCCTCGAAATGCAGACAGAACTGCCTACCGAAGCAATTGAAAAGCTGCATCATGAAGCAAACAGTTCCTATGAGTTTCCTCTTCTTGTCAATTGTTGATACATGTTATGATTTTGATATGGTATTCAGATTTAGTATATATATGCACTTACGGTTAACATCCATGTAGCATGATCGAATTCTTGCAAGTTTTGCTTGACATATTTGTGTTTGAAGGCACACCCATCATGCATGTCGACGTTGTGATCCTTCCTCAAATGCAAAAGCAACCATGGAATGTCTCCTGTGACTGGACACTCAGCTCCAGCGTACGGACAATTATACGGTTTGTTCTTACCAAATTCCTCTTGTGTCGGCTTATGATCATCGTGCAGGTAACCTGACGTGCGGGGAATCTCTATAGATTCAGCCGCTTTCTCTACAGCGAGACACCGTATATCTCCCAGCTTGTATCGACAAGTCGGGCAAGAGTTATGTACTCTGGCCTTGCAAGATGAACATACGGTATGACCATTTGGACACTATCGACATAGAAATCGAACCAAAACCGAAACCCACGAGTAAGTGATCTATAGTTTCAAGTTAATGAATCATATTATGTTATAGTTATATTAATGGCTTATAGTTTCTGGACTCTGGTAAAGAAGGAAACTTTCATTACCTGGTAGATAGGGGAGGACATTAGGTTCATACAAACAGGGCATTCGAGCAAGTCCTGAACCTCGGAGGCTCTCGATTCAGCCTTGCCTACGAGCCCGAAACTTTTCCGTCTCTCCTTGTCGTTGCCGGAAAATATGATCGGAGAATCAACGGCGAGGTGACGGAATCGGGTCTCCATCGTTTGATGAATCAGGCAAGTGGGAGAGGAGACCGGACGGGAAGAGAAACTCTGGCAGGTACTCTTTCTTGGGTCACATATATATGTATAATATACACATGCATATACGTTTTATATATAATGTATAATGTATAGTATGAGAATGCGTAAGGGTGTTAATGTGTCAATTATTGGAGTGGATGACTTTGTAGGCAACGTGGAGTAAATGTCGCATAAATGTTGGCTCCGTAAATTGCGTGTCCGAAAGATTTGATTTTAGGGGGCAAAAAACCTTAGGAGTTGATTTTAGCACACGACACGACAGCAGATAGCCTTAGTTTGTCAATTTGTTACAAGTCTTAATTATCCTCAGCAGATTATATTATAAAAATGCCACGTGGCGCAAGTGGGTGGTTCCTTTTTAACCCAATCATACAAATGCTTAATTGATTGATTGATTGGGTGATTGTTAATACATTGATAGAATCAAAGACTGTGAAGGACAAAAAATTCAAATAAAAAAGGACCATGTTTAAATTCAAAAATATAAAGAATAAGGTTTCATTTCAACTGATGAGACGTACACACAACAGGAGGGTGGACCTTTCAGAAACCGAACTGTATTCTATTGATACACCTTTCTAAATTTTTGAATGGTATTTTTTTTAGAAAACCAAAATTTCTGAATTCGAATCGATTGGTACTTATTTTTGTAAAACCGAAAAAACCGGATCGATACATTCTCATCCACCCTGACACAATAAACAAGTTGCCAAAGAATTGTTGCCTTTCTAAACGTTAGTTCTCTTCATAAATATTAGGGATAAATACGTCTGACAAGAAACACTAGTTTTCTATTGATCGGTGAAGCATCTTCAGAAATGAAGCCAAGCTGACAATTGCATGATCTGATTCCGACCTGAAACATGTACGGACAAAAAAAAACCCTATTGCTGAATGGTCAGTGAAAAAGAAATGAATCACCAAATGGGCAGAGAGATCTTAGTGAGAATGTGTTGAGAAGCAACTACATGGTTCCCCTGCCTCTCCCTCTTCTTCCGTTAGCTATGCTACCAATCAATGAACCCCCTTCTTCTAGTATTGCATTCAGACCCATCAGCTTCAATCCGAGATTATTAACCAGAAATTCCAACGCGCTCTCGTTTCTCAGACTCGTCTCTCGAAGCTCGTGTGCTTGCTCTCGCGAAAGCATAGTGTAAAGCCGGAGAGGAGGATTCTCTATATGTTCTTCAAAGCTATCGAAAGTTACTCTCCCTAACCCGATGGATTTCGGGTTTTCCAGTAAAGGGTTGAACACAAACGAGAATTTCCCAAATGCAATGTCCGGTCTCTTGAACAGATCTTCAAGAATCTCCCCGTTAGATCCAATGTTTCTCGGTATATGTTTCCGAGAGTTACTACGGAAAATATCGACAACTTGTCGAATACGCGATGCTTCCCTTAAACCGCTTAGGTAGGCACCGTGCATAGTGGCTGGATATTGCCTTGTTGTGGCCTCCCCAGCAAAGAATAATCGGTTACTTACACTTTCAGCAAGAATGTCATAGTCCCTGCCCGATGAACCGACCCTTACATGGGAATATGAGCCATAGGAAAACGGGTCATCACCCCATCTTGTGCATATCGATTGTATGGGATCAGGCACGTTTTCACCTTTTGGACCGTAAATCCCTGTGAACGAAAAAAGGGCAATGCTTTAAAAAAACAACAGCCTTTGCATCAATAAACAGAAGTTGTGTATCACATGATCAAATACTACCTCTAAGTTTGTTCAAAACTCGATGGAGTAACATGGATGGCTCTGTGGACTCGAATCTTTGAGCAGATTCTCCAGATACCAAAGCAACCAACACTGGGCCGCCAGAGACGGTATGGTAGGCATAGAATAGGAAGAATTCTCCTCGGTCAATGCTACTTTGACCGAGGCACCCGAATGTATCCAAATCCTCCCCCCAAAAGACATACGGAAAAAGCATGGCAACTTTGTTCAGGAGACCAAATCCCAATCTTTCAATTGCTTCTTGTTTTCGTAGAGGTAACTCTGGCTGAAACTTGATGGCTTTCCTCTTCAAAACCCCGAGAGGAACCGTGCAAATAATCATGTCTGCTTGAAATACTCGGGCACCGGATATCACTTCCACTCCTCCACCTCCATATCTAATGGCATCTACTCTCTCCCCATAGATTATCGGTATTCCTTCGGCTAAAGCCTTTATCAGTCTCCAGTTTCCACCAGCAAGAAAGCAATGATCCCCACTCATTTCATATGGATCATCCTGGTCCCAATAAGCAGCAGAGAGATTCGAAAGACACCCGGCATTAGCGTATTCCAAATTAGCAAGATGCCAATCAAGAAGCTTCCTTTCATCGGCACCTCTAGCAACAGCATACAACTGCCTGAGTGTCTCCAAAACTTCGCCCAGAGAGATCTGGTTAGCTGATTCACCCATCATCTCCCTCACTTCAGTGACCTTATCGAGCAGCTTATTAAAGACAAACTCGACATGGGAGTCAGCTTTCGAGTCAACGACTGTTCCGTCTGAATTATACAAAGGGCATTTGTCCCTAACCTTGTGAAGAGGAATCGAAAGCTGCCTAGCTAGAACTCCAAGAGGGTTGGCATGGAGACCTGTAATCACACTTCCTCCAAGTTCAACAGCAGCAAATCTACCCTTATCTCCCATCTTTTGGGTATATACTCTTCCACCGGGACGATTCCTTGCCTCTAAGACAAGAACCTTAAACCCAAACGACAAGAGCTGTCTTGCTGCAGCCAAGCCAGCAAGTCCAGCTCCTACAACAATGACCGACCCTTCTGTAGCCTCTTCAGGCATATGGGGAGCAAACAATGGCGAAACACCGAAATTAATGTATCCATTGAACAGCAAAAATTCATAAGCAGCCGAAATCAAATGCTCACACTCACTACTCACGGTTTCTCTAATCTGTTCCTTTCGTAGCCATATCCGGACATTACTCCTCCATCTGGCGAGGATGTGGTTCCGTACAACAATGTAATCGTTCTGCTCTTTCCCGCCCAATTCCCTCACCACCCCAGCACGAATCTCGTCCTCGAGGAGCTCGTCGATTGGGAAACCTACCGACAAAGCAATCATGGCCTCGGTCTCTGTCTCTTTCTCCAGTTCTTGCCTTGTCCTAAACTTTTTCTTCAAGCTGCCGCCTAAATGCTTCTCTATGAGTTCATCCATCAAATTCTCGTCGTAGTTCTTCCCGCTTGCTTTCCTCCTCAATGTCCTCCTCGGAGCCGACCCCTCCGACGACGGAGTCGCCATCTCCGGGAAACTATCCACAAACCCAACTCCGGTTTTCTCACAAGAGACTTTTCCACCGCCGATATCGAACAATCGCCATTACCAATCCAGAGGCTTCGTTCTCTGTGTTCGAAAAAACGGAGAACCAATCGAAAACTCAACTCATGGGCTTACCCGGAACACCATCGTCCTCCCGAAAAAATGTGATAGATCATACGACAAAATTCATCGGGAAGTTTTTGAGAAGACGAAAGGGTTTCGACGTTTTCCCGACCTCCGGGTACAAATGTGAACATGAACAAGCATTCTCGTCGCTGTAGCATCTCTAAATGGGCCTATAAATCCATCGGCCCAGTCTATATCTAAATCATATGGCCCAATGAGCCTACAGGAGCATTATATACATATATACATATATATATATATATATTACGCAGAGTAATTTAGCATCTTATATTTAGTATATTGCAAAGTTTTCTACACAAATGTGGGTGTAAAAATTGTATAATAGTTAAATATAATTTGTAATGTATGCACACACCCGTTCTTTCATATATATATATGTCTAAATATCAAGCTATTTAGCTTCTAATCAAAGGAGGCAACTCGAGATTTTAATTAAGTTAAGTTGTGTTTTGAATTTCAGATGAACATCACCCGTTGAATTGAATCATATAAACATGACTGTATCTATATATTTTGAACGATAAATAGTAATCGGTGTCGAATTTGGGAAGAAAAAAAACATTAGTGATTAAAATCTAAAAGATAAAGATAAAATTAAATATAAATATGACATATAATGATTGGAGAAAATATATATATATATATATATATACATATAATGATTGGAGAAAATAAAAGTCACATGTAATAACTAAAAGGGTGATGTAGGACGTTCCAAGATAAGATAACATGTGCATGGTAATGTAGGACATGGACATGTCTTCTTCTTGTACTCATATTGACAATGACATTCGCCTTTCATTTCACGTTGTTTCTTCTTCATCTCCCCCCACACATTTTCCTAAAGACTTTCGCGGAAAACCATCGTAAAATAGGCATAATTAATTACAAGTTGCATGCATGCACATGTACACACATATATACACACATACATGCATAAAATCTTTTTGAATTGGACTACATAGTACCATTTTGTTAAAACTCATGGGATCTAAATAAAACAAACATTAATCATATATAAACCAAAGTTACCAAACTATATGAACCCTCGTATATTTTGAAATGCGAATCTAATTGTTCATATAGACGGATCTATGTAATGGTGTGGTGTGTGAGGGTAAATAAATATGTTCGTTTTGTTATATTAAAAAACGTTCTACAATTAAATTTCATAGATTATTTGGATGAAAAAAAATAGGCATCCAATATTAATATATATCTGGATAATTTATAGTGCTTGTGCAATATGTAATTATTAATTTTGCATAAAATAATGATAAATGCATGTTACCGTTTGGGACATTCAATGTAAAATTTCTTCGAGACGGAAAAAACCCAGCGACGAAATTAATACAAACCTCGGGAAAAAAATAGATTGCAGACAAGAAAATTCATGCAGACGTGAGAACGAAGGAAAACCAGGGTTTCAAAAAATAATATCAAATAGATTATTAATTTTAAGTTCACATAATGCATCAAATATAAATATTATCAATAATAGCTATGAATTCTGAAATTTTGTAAACACAAATAATATCACACCTTTAATGAGTGATTGGTCAATTTATAAACGTAAATATATCATAAAAAAATAAAAATGAGAGCGGCCTCAAAGTTTAGAGATATCCTTATTCTTTTTTATTTTCAAAATTTAGACATATCTTATGTTGCAATAAATATCAAAATATTATATTCAAATAAAAATTTTATAAGTATTGTTATTACATTTAAGCATGTAGACACTTGACCAACATAAACTGAAATATCTCATCGAAAAGTTTACTTATCATCTATAAAATTTGTTTCATACAAATGTATATGTCCTTCAATTTAATTTATTGATAATCCAAACCCACATTATTTTGTTATCTTTAATAGAAAGTATCAGAGTTTGAAGGCATAATAAGCAGAAAGAATACGTTAATAGCACTGCTTAAGAAAGAAATAATCGTGTTATATGCAATGAAATATAATATGGTGTTATTGATAGATATTGAATTATATATTGAAATATAATTATTATTCTATAACATTCGAATATACAATTTTATTGTAAAATATTTTATCAATTATAATATTATATCTTTTCTTAAACTATTCTTTGCAGTTTTATTGAAAAAGATTAATCTCATTTTTTAAAATGTTAAAAAATTACTTTTCTCTTGTTGGATAGAGGAAAATATCAAAATGTTTAACCTTTTTTTATTATATTTAAAATCAGATAATTAATTATCAAAAGAAAAAAAATAGAGACCGTATATGTGTACTCCATTTTTCAATTCTATAAGACCTGATTTTGTATAATATTAGGATCAGATTTTGATTCATGATAATATTATTAACTTTTTAGACGAGAATCGCAGTTTATTTTTAGACGAAAATTAGAATTTAGTTCATTATCTTTTAATAGTCTTTTGTTTATTAATAGCTAGTTATATAGCTTGGCGAGATGGTAAAAAAAAAACGTGACGTGCATGAGTGCTAATCTTTGTTTCTCGTGCCATGATAATATATAAAAGAATCGGTCCATGTAGAGTGCAGTTGATTATAATCATAAACATAATCATATAATGTGAAAAGTATAATAATGATTCATACATATGGTTTCACGTCCAATTATAAATTATTGATGGACTGCTTGCTAAGTGATGAGATTGAGGGGCACTGTCCCTAAAATATTATATGGTCGATTTAAATAGTTACTCATATAGTATATTTTAATTTTGAATTAAAAGATAATGTCCTTTTAGAGACGTGCATGCATGGCCATAACAAATAATTTGTTCCCTAATGGAATCGATCAAATGACGCTCCACACGATGCACACAATGTTCTATATTAAATTTTGGAATATAATCACCCCAATCAAAATTATTATTCCATTTTCTAACATAAAACTCTATATAAATATTTAAATTCTAAAAAAAATTTACTAAAAATACAGAAGCTAATTCTAGAATTGCAGAAGAAAATATATAAACTAATCCAAGTATTATGTATTTTCATGGGATTTTCTCATTTTTAAGAAAAATAACATTTCCATGCTTTTATATCGATGGAAAGTATCTAAATTTAGGGCCTTGTATCAATTTTATAAACATAACTTCATCTATAAAGTTCGTAACTGAAATAAATTTATATCGGTATAATCTTCCACTCAAAATATATCTCATGGATTTATGGTTGGTCATTAGCCTATAAACAGTCTTGTGTCATTCTTAAATGATATTATTTAGCCTAAATACATTTTTATTTTTATTTTTATTTTCATAGCATATATGTTAATGTGTTAAAAAGGGGATCGCTTAAACAAAGGCCATTTGTTTGAATTTTTTATTTATTCAGAAAATACGAGACAATGGACCGTCTCGAAGAACGAGCAGATCAAACTTTGTTCCTCGAGCGAATTTCAAAGCAATTTATTTAAATTAAGCTTTAATTAAACACGAATGCATGTACACTAGCTAACCGGCCAAAACCCACGTGGGTATGTAATAATATTGCAAAACCCTAACTAAATCACTCATGACGTACAAATATTTTATATCTAAATTATGGGTATTTAAATAGATAATACATTTTAGAGATAATAATCTCTATATTTAGGACTATATAAATATGGTTGTTTTCTTTTTTATAACTTACCATAAATACATGTTCTAAAATATTTGAATAAATAGAGGCGCTTAATTAGGGCTGAGATTAGGATAATAATATTAATCTATTAGACAATATGGTAAAGGACGTGCACATGATCCGGGACACGTGGCGGCACCTTACCTGAGCCGACAGCCGCCACTAAAACGTTGTCGTTTTTGTGAACTAAATATAATTTAATTAAATATTAAAGCGGTTTAATTAAGATTTTAAAGGCTAGGGTGACAGGACGAGGCAGAATGCAGCCGTAACAGCATTGGCCAATGGGGTAAAGCCAAAACGCAGCGTTTCATAGGGAAGTGGTCCGGTGACGCTAACAAGTCAAACCGGTTAGTTTATCCATCCCTTCACGGGGGGAAGCTACGGCATGTCGGACCCACCATACGACCAAAATACGTACATATACATGTATATACGTCTACATAGATATACATACAAGCACGTATAATTTGAAATAAAAGGATGTGAAGATAAAGCTCTACATAAGAAGTGTGTATATGTTATGCTTTTAGTTAAATCAAATGTTCCATTTTAAACTAATGAAAATTTCAAAAATGTTAAACTCAAATTAATGTGATTCTCCACGTGTGTGTATATATATATATATATATCAAAACTACAGTAACATATATATATATATTGGATTATTTATGTCTAATTTAAAAAAAAAATGCCAGTATGAGATTATATGCATGAATATACCGTCTAATCAACTTCTAAAGTCACGAGTTAAGTTTAAAATATGTGTATATATATAAGTTAAATGAAATCCGACGTGGAAATATCGAAACTATCTTTTCATTATTATTATTTTGTTCAGAAGCAGGAGATGGGATACTGTCGTCAAGTAAACGTCCGACGATGAATTTCATACGTCACGTAAGTTAAGCATCGAGGACCACCTGATCTGAAAAAATCTTTACTAAAACTATATTATATTATATTTTTTTCCTTTTAAAAATAATATTAAATAAAAATAGAGACAAATGATTATTAGGGCATAGTTTGGACCACGGGGTTTGCTACATGCCACGGAAGTCTCTCAACTACCCCCTTTGATTGTGCTCTCTGTTCTAATCTTACAAACAAAACTTTTTTATGCTTTGGACCATTATCATTCATTTTTTGTCCCTTTACGCATTACGTAACGTTATTAATTATTTTTCCTCATTTTTGGTTTACGAAATGAATCACGAGATCCTGTTTGATCTTCTTTTTTTTTGGAACGGTTTCTTTTTAAAAAAAACGATTTCCCATAATCGAAACTAAATTTCTACTAATTACCCAAAAAAAAATACAATTATGCTATTACAACCCAATAAAAAGGAGTTGGTTCATATCCAATTAATCTTTAGAGATTCATATTAGGGTGGCCATTTCGGGTTTTGACTTGGGTTCGATTCGATTATATTCGGATTCGATTATTTCGATTATAAAAAACTATAACCATTCGATTTTTATATAAAATTCGCTTAATTTTTTATTAGCATTCGATTTTTTGAAAATACTCATTTTTTTAAAAAAAAAAATTATCGGATGGTTATTTTTTTAATCGATTTGGTTTGGTTCGGTTTCGATTTTTTCGGATTTAGAGAAATCATAACCGTTCGATTTTTATATCGGATTCGGTTCGGTTATAGTTATATCAATCGGTTCAAAAATGACCACCCTAATTAATATATATTTCTTGAATCTAAAAAAAATAATCATAAGATAATTTGCATTGAAAATGTAATACTTAAATTAATACCATATATGCCATATAATATAAACTATTAGATACTTTGTTGATGCATTTGCATGTTATGTTTCGGACATTTTCTTTTCTTTTTTTTTTTCCCTCGGAATAAACCGGAAAAAGCCCGCCACGCCTTCGTTCCTCCTACACCACCGAAAAAAAAAAAAAAATTTGCGAACTTATTACGACTAATATATAACTAATATACAACTTATTACGACTAATAAACTATTCTTATTTTAGTTGTATATTAGTTATATATTAGTCGTAATAAGTTCGCAAATTTTTTTTTTTTTTTCGGTGGTGTACACTGAAATTGCTGCGACCGAAGTGGGTTATTTGAGTAATATTCCCCAAATAAACCGGCATTATATCAAAAATACCCTTAAAATGCTACTTCTACTTCAACACCTACCCTTGTGACCATGTGACCAATGTGACCGAAATATAGTGTGGTCACATATTGATCTCATTGTTCATAACGTTAAATTTATGATGTTTTAATCAAATGATTAGTAAGATATACAAGGTATGAACATAATGAATTAGTGTGATCACCATAAATTTAACGTTATAATCGATAAAAATCAAAATATGACCATACTATATTTCGGTCACATTGGTCACATGTGACCAGGGTAGGTCTTGAAGTAGAAGTAGCATTTTAAGGGTATTTTTGATAATGCCCCGAATAAACCTCAGGCCTTATGCGACGTCGTTTCCGGTTGTAAGCACAGGCAGTGTCAAACATGGAGATTCTAGGACAACGGGAGGGTATTTTCGACAACTACAAAAATAGTACGACATTTTTAAATTCAAAATCCATAGGATGATGATTTTTACTACTAAATTATCAGAAAATATAATATAAATATCAGTCTAATGTTTACTAAAGGCACTGAAAAATAAGTTTTTTTTTTTTACTTTATATAGATTTCATTTCCGTATAAAAAAAACGGAGAAGAAGAAAGGGGAGAAGAAAAAAAACCCTAAAAAGCTGCTTCACGTTTTCGCGCTTTTCTTCCTGTTTCCATCTCAGCAGCATTTATGCTTCATAGATTTCCTACACTGTCTTGTTCCCATTGAAGCTGCGTTTGATGTGAAAGGAGAAGCTCGAGGAACGACAGAAATGGCGAAATCGATGCTTCTGGTACATTATTTCCCCCCTTTTTTGTTTTTTTTTTCCTTCTGGTTTCGACTTTCCGCATCTTTTTCCCCTCCTCCTCCTCTCTGTGGTTGAATCGTTCGTTTTCATGGCGGTGAAATACATGGAAGGTTCGCTGGTGAATTTAGTAATATAATAATGTCGTTCTCATGCGCTTTGTTTTATATGTTTGCTATAATATTATATTATTACATGTATCGGCCGTTCTTATTGGTTTCTGTTTGGCTCCTGGGAAAATTCCTTTCCGCGTATGAAATTGGCTTTTAAAATCTACTGTCAAATGCGTCTTTCTTCCTAGTTTCGATTTTTCTTTGAAGGATTTGAGGTGTCATTCTCCTTTCAGTGCGATTTTCTTCCGCGATGTTGTGCTTCTGCGTTTTCTATGCATCTAAGCATTTTCTTCCTTGTTTTCGTTGTTTTAATCTCATTTTTCCTCCATTGCAGGTGCGATTTTCAGTGCTGCGGTGCTTCTGATAGGATCGATTCTTGTCTTGAAGCATAGAAAACAGAATCAGTAGCACAATTAATTTTCTCAGAGCGAATTTTTGCTTTTTTTCGGGGGTTTAGATCCAAAAATGATAAGACTCATTTCCCTGTGGTTGTTTCTGGGAAAGCTCTGACTCAGTGTTTTGACCGAAAGGACGAGATAAAAAAAAGGGTGAAAGATGCTTCGTTTGATTTTCTTGGGGAGATTTGAAGCTTAGATATTTGATTTTTCTCGATTTTTGGGCAAGACAGGATCTTTGAACGGGTTTGCCCGAAAAGCCTGGGAATCTAGTGAAGAAATATATATTTGTTTTTATATGTGGGGGCTTTGAAGGAAGAAGAAGCCTAGCGAATGAAAAAGTTGGGCAGTGTTTTTGTGTACGGTGCTGTGACATTCATGTGATTCAGTGAGCCGGGGGGGACGAAGAGCTAGGTCTTGTCATGTCTCTGAGTTTTGTTTTCATCTTGGAAGTCCTTTCTGGAATGACAAATCTTGCAGTGTCTCTGACGCTTGTCCCGACTCCCAACTTGGTGGGGGCAACCAAATAATTCGAGCAAAATTTGTTGTCTCTGCCTTTACATATATAGATGTATATATATGTTTTTGCCATAGCCTTGTGAGCCTAAACCATCTCCAAGAAAGTACGACTCTTGAGATTGGGGTTTTGCTCTGAGTAACATACAGAAATCTTCTTGGGGAGAGAGAAGTGGATTGAGGGTTGATAGAGTTCTTGCATTGTGCTTCTCCGGCTTGGTGTCTTGATGAGTCGGCTACAGAAGCGAGGGAAGCAGGAAAAGCCGGGGTCTGATGGAGGTGAAAAGGTTCTTGTAGCTGTTAAGGCGTCTAGAGAGATCCCAAAGAACGCCTTGGTTTGGGCCTTGACTCATGTTGTTCAGCCTGGAGATTGCATAACGCTGCTTGTCGTCGTTGCCTCTCACCACTCTGGTACTTTTCTTCCAGCAATTCATTGGTTTATGCTTCTTCCCGTGTTAGAGCTTTGTGTTGGTGCCTTCTATGTCTATTTTATTCACTCATATGTGTGATTGTGATAATTGGTTCTTTACTGATGGAGTTTGATTGCTCTGTTTTTCTCTTTCTTTGTGATGAGTTTGTAGGTCGGAAATTATGGGTTTTCCCGAGGTTTGCCGGGGATTGTGCCAGTGGTCATCGGAAGTCCCATTCAGACGCATGTCCGGAGATAAAGAGTGATCTCACTGACACTTGCTCCCAGATGATTCTCCAGCTCCAAGATGTCTATGATCCAAATAAGGTTAGCCAAGCCATATCAGCGCGCTTGAATCTTCTGAAACGTTGCTGGTTTTTCTCACCTTCGTTTCTTTAATCCGTGCTTGATATGAAGATAAATGTCAAGATCAAAATCGTATCTGGATCACCCTGTGGAGCTGTGGCTGCTGAAGCCAAGAAAGTACAAGCAAACTGGGTTGTGTTGGACAAGTAATAATCTATTTCCATCCATCTTTTTAAATCTTTTCCCCCTTCCCCTCGAGTTCTTGTTATCTGGTTTTTACATTTTGTCAACAGTTCCCTTCATACTGTCACATGATTCTTTCTCAGGCAACTCAAGCATGAGGAGAAACGATGCATGGATGAGCTGCAATGTAACATTGTGGTGATGAAGCATTCACAGGCAAAAGTTCTGCGCTTGAACTTGGTTGGATCCCCGAGGAAGGATGCAGGAAAAGAGTGTTGCTTACCAACTGGACAGGAAGCAGCATCCGAAAAAAAGAATCTGAAGAACAACAAAATGGTATCTTCAGATTCTATCCGGCAGCCAGTTGTGACCCCTACGAGCAGTCCTGAGCTAGGGACCCCATTCACGGGCACAGAAGCTGGGACTTCATCAGTGTCCAGCTCTGACCTGGGAACGTCACCTTTTTTCATATCGGGCACGAATGGGGACTTGAAAAAAGACGAAGTACTGGTCATCAAGGAGAATGATGTTCTCGATGAATCTGGTTCTGATACAGAGAGTGAAAATCTATCGCTAGCGTCGACGAGTATGAGATTCCAGCCATGGATATCAGATTATCTCTGCACCCATCGGCAGTCATCCATGGGAGGAGCTGAGGAAAGCTTGTGGAAAAGCGAAGATAGTGGGGTTCAAGTATCAACAGCAAAGGCATTGCTTCAGAAGTACTCAAAATTAGATGACGAAATCGGATCTTCGAGCAGGAGAATCGATTTGGACTTCAGCGGAAACTTGAGAGACGTGATTTCGCTCTCTCGAAATGCTCCTCCAGGGCCACCTCCTCTCTGCTCTATATGTCAGCACAAGACACCGGTATTTGGAAAACCTCCAAGGTTGTTCACATACCCGGAGTTAGAGCTTGCAACAGGCGGGTTTTCACAGGCTAACTTCTTGGCAGAAGGCGGGTTTGGATCGGTTCATAGAGGGGTACTCCCGGATGGGCAGGTAGTGGCTGTAAAGCAACACAAATTGGCAAGTACGCAGGGAGATGTGGAATTTTGCTCAGAAGTGGAAGTTCTAAGTTGTGCTCAACACCGAAATGTTGTGATGTTAATCGGTTTCTGCATCGAAGACAGCAGAAGGCTTTTGGTCTACGAATACATATGCAATGGATCCCTCGATTCCCATCTGTACGGTAGGTGAAAAAACTCGTCTCTATTGCTTGAAATATTATTATCAGAAACTAAGGTTTGTAATTTCAGGTCGACATAGGGAACCTTTGGAATGGGCATCACGGCAAAAAATCGCTGTTGGAGCTGCTAGAGGCCTTCGGTATCTGCATGAAGAATGCAGAGTGGGTTGCATTGTTCACCGTGATATGCGGCCTAACAACATTCTAATCACACATGATTACGAACCACTTGTACGTTAACTGTCTTTCTTTGTTTGTTGATTAGGTATGCCATATTTCATGTTGTGAACTAAGGAGCTTGTTGTACTGTCCTGTCATGTCATGTCAGGTTGGAGATTTCGGTCTAGCGAGGTGGCAGCCTGATGGGGACCTTGGAGTGGAAACACGAGTGATCGGAACGTTCGGGTAATAAAAAAAAAATGATCGAAGCATCATCACCTTCTTCCTAATTTACAAAATTCTGTGTAAAAAGTTGTTAAAAGGAGATTTGCTTTGTCGAGTGTATATAGCTATCTGGCTCCTGAATATGCTCAAACCGGGCAAATCACGGAGAAAGCGGATGTATACTCGTTCGGGGTGGTTCTGATTGAGCTCGTCACTGGCCGTAAAGCCATTGATATCACCCGGCCGAAAGGCCAGCAGTGTCTGACCGAATGGGTAATACATCCATACTTTTCCCCCAAGAATCCATCTCTTCATCGTATGACATGTTATCGAAATGTCAGCTCTTTCTCCTTTTTGTTTTGAACAGGCACGACCTCTACTGGAAGAATACGCGGTGGAAGAACTAATTGATCCGAGCCTTGGGACCCGCTTCTCGGAGAACGAGGTCATCTGCATGCTTCAGGCGGCATCATTGTGCATAAGAAGAGATCCCCATTTACGCCCTCGAATGTCTCAGGTGAACTAAATAACCTTTTTGATCCGAAACCAAAACATATCTAACTCCTATGAAACGATCTCGAAAGTCGTTTTTCTACTCTTTAAAGGTGCTTCGGATATTGGAAGGCGATATGATAATGGACGGGAATTACACGTTAACGACTCCGGGATCTGAAGCAGGCAGCCGAAGCGGGCGGTTTTTGGTAGACCAGAAACACTACAGTGGCCCTCTTCTAACAGATGATGATGATGCTGCTTCGGGCAGGTTCAGTCAGAAACTCTGTCTTGACACGAAGCGATGAGAGAAGAAGCAAGTGATCGCAGAGACTAAACCGGAAAGAATCAAGTGATACAGTGACTGCACCGGAAGCTAAACCGGAAAGAATCAAGTGATGCAGTGGTTAAACCGGAAGCTAAACCGGAAAGAAGTGAGTGATGCAGTGACTCTCTCTCAGACCACAGTGGAAGATATCTGTTTGTCTGAGTTGGTTAGTTTTGTAGTTGTTGTCTTTAAAGTTCATGTTTTTTTGGTACAGCGATCCAATGCTCCGTTAAGAGTAAATTTTTGTTAACCCTTTTTTGTATAGTGGGTGAAAAAAAATTGATGCTTTACCCATGAAATTTGGGTTTCATTTTGAGATTAAAATGGGCCGAAGTGAAGACAAAACATAGTAATTTTTTTTTTCCAAGTTGAAACTATAGATGATTTTAATCCACAAATATTGGGAGATACTATTTGAATCCGAATCGTAAATACATCACTAGTTTATAGGTCTTGAATATCGAAGTAATTTGTTTAATTTTGATTAAAATAAATCATTTCCATATCATGGAATTTAATGGTAAGAAAGATATTTCTAATAATATCATAAAAATTCAAAAATTGGATAAAATAGCGTTTTAAAAAAACAAATCGGTAATTAAAAAAAAAAAGGGAAAATCCCACGAGATTTTTTTACTATGGGCTTGGGTGTGGCTCGTGTATATATATATATATGTATATATAGAAAGGAAAGGAGATATGCCCAAAACAAAGTGCATCACGACAGAAATTCGTTATAATTGTGTCGAAATCTGATTCAATTGGGTCCCCAATCTTTTCTCCTTTTTATAGAAAGATCACACACTTTTATGATGCGAATATGAATGAATCCATATAAAGAAAGGAAATAAATTTTAAAATGGTAAATTGATTCATGTAATATATTCATTTTAAATGAATCGTGGTCTTTATTCTATTCCATTCTGTGTTATTTGGATCTGTTTGTTCGTTTAATAATATTGGGGGGTTTTTATATTTTGGGCCAATCGAAACAATAATTAGTTATTGATCATAAATATGTAAATATAAATTATTTATAATCAAACCTCACGGACTCGCATTATTGTTTACGTACCATAATCATATTTTTTTGCCTATCAATCATCACATATGATTTTCTATGCAAATAAATGAAACAAAACGCAAATAATCAAACCGAGAGTGTTCCAACCAAAACGGCAAAACCACACCAAATCCAAATTACAATAACCCAAATAATTTACGGAAAATAATCAACAAACCCATTTATGACGACGGATATGACGTCAGCCCTGAGGTTTCACCCGCCGTCGCCGCCTCCTCGTCCAGGAACAGATCCTCCGTCTTCCTAACCGCCGCGTGGATCAGAACTACAACGGCGCCGATCACCAGAGCCCCGACGATGTTCGCCGTCGCTTTGGTCAACAGGAGCAGAGCCACCGTCAACACCGATAGACAGATCAGGATCGTCCGATCGTCTATCTGACGGCCGATCACCACGAGAGGCTCGTCGCGGAGGAAGTAGAGGAACATCCAAATCGCCATCAACGCGATGAAGACGATGAGCGAGGTCGGGTGATACAGGAGGCTGAGGAAGAGGATGAAGAGGGCGACGATGGCGTAGTTCATGCGGAAGAAGGCGAGATTCGTCTTGATCCTGGATATAGCGGCGGAGAATCCGCCGCGGGGGGGG